ATCACCAACATTCCGTGTGTCGTCCATGATACAGTACCGTAGCGATGGCGAAGAGTATAGTTCATTTCCTACACGAAGACCTCCAATACGGCAACATGGACGGCGTCCACACCGACACACACCTCGTTCGTGACTTTGAGCACGTGCAACGCAGCGATGGCTCCCTCGTCGGCGGCAAAAACTCCTCCCTGGGGGGGATGATCAGAGCTCTCTCAGCCAAAGGGATTACCGTACCTCCCGGCTTCGCAACCACGTCCCATGCATACTGGCACTACATCGACACCAATGAGATCCGGAAGCACCTAGCCGAGCTCATAGCAGACTGGGAATCAGGAAAGGCCCACCTCGCCGAGACTGGTCGAGCAATACGAAAGCTATTCATTCGAGGTAGCTGGCCACCCGATATTGAGACAGCCATCCGCGCCGCATACCGCAGGCTTTCCACCAAAGCAGGCGTCGAAAACGTCAGCGTGGCAGTTCGGTCCAGCGCTACAGCCGAGGACCTCCCGGACGCCAGCTTCGCCGGACAGCAGGAATCCTACCTCAACATCGTGGGCGAAAACGCCCTCCTGGAAGCCTGTCGACGGTGCTACGCATCGCTCTTCACTGATCGAGCCATCAGTTACCGGCAAGCAAAGGGCTTCGATCACCTGCGCATCGCCCTATCCGTCGGCGTGCAGCGCATGGTCCGCTCCGATGCCGGCGGCTCGGGGGTAATGTTTTCCATCGACACTGAAACAGGCTTCGACAATGTCGTCCTCATCAACGCAGCCTGGGGCCTGGGCGAGAACGTCGTCCAGGGCACTGTCGACCCAGATGAGTACCAAGTCTTCAAACCTCTCCTCTCAGATGGCTACGTCGTACCCATCATCGACAAAAAGCGCGGCGATAAATCCATCAAGATGATATATGGCGACGACCAGACTCCCACGAGGAACGTACCAACCTCCAAAGCTGAACGCGCCTCATTGGTCCTCAGTGACTCCGAAATTCTCCAACTCGCCCGATGGGCCTGCGCCATCGAAACCCACTACGGCTGCCCAATGGACATGGAATGGGCCAAGGACGGTCTCACCAACCAGCTCTTCATAGTCCAAGCCCGACCTGAAACCGTCCACTCTCGCCGTGACGCGACCGCAGCCTTTAAGACGTACAAGATCGGTCATAAGGGCTGCACCCTGACTACTGGACTAGCGGTCGGCGATGCCGCCGTCTCCGGTCGTCTCTGTCTGATCGAGTCCGCGCACGAGATGGACAAGTTCATCGACGGCTGCATTCTTGTCACTGCAACGACCGACCCAGACTGGGTGCCAATCATGAAGCGCGCCGCAGCAATTATTACCGACCACGGCGGCCGCACCTCTCATGCGGCTATTGTCAGTCGGGAACTCGGCGTCCCTGCCATCGTGGGCACTCATGATGCGACCTACGTGTTGCACTCGGGGCAAGACGTGACAGTCTCGTGTGCCGAAAGCGATCAGGGCTTCGTCTATGATGGCATTTCAGAGATTATCACTCAGACAGTAGACATGAGCGGACTCCTCGCCAGCCGAACAAAGGTGATGCTGAATCTGGCCAACCCGGCCGCCGCATACCGCTGGTGGCGACTCCCTGCCGATGGAATCGGCCTGGCGCGGATGGAGTTCGTAGTGACCAACGCCATTCGAGTTCATCCGATGGCGCTGGTGAATTTCGACCGGCTGCAGGATGTCCAGGCCAAGGCAGAGATCGATCGATTAACAGCCGGGTACGAGCACAAGCCTGAGTACTTCGTAGACAAGCTGGCCCATGGCTTCGCGGCACTCTGCGCCGCGGTGTATCCTAAGCCAGCGATTCTGCGGATGAGCGACTTCAAGACAAACGAATATGCAAGACTAGTTGGGGGAAAGGAGTTCGAGCCTAAAGAGGAGAACCCGATGATCGGGTTCCGGGGGGCGTCGAGGTACTACTCGCCGCTGTATCGTGAGGGGTTCGCTTTGGAATGTCGCGCTATTCGGCGACTGCGTGAAGAGATGGGATTCACGAATGCAGTGGTGATGATTCCATTCTGCCGCACAGTAGGCGAAGCGGAAAAGGTGTTGCAGGTTCTCGCTGATAATGGGTTACACCGGGGAGAGCATGGACTGCAGGTGTATGTAATGTGTGAGATTCCGTCGAATGTGGTTCTGGCAGAGCAGTTTGCGGCTCGTTTCGATGGGTTCTCGATCGGGTCAAATGATCTAACGCAGCTGACGCTAGGAGTCGATCGCGATTCAGACGAGCTGGCGGACCTCTTTGATGAGCAGGATGAGGCAGTTGAATCGCTGATTGCGCAGGTCATACGGGTGGCGCGCAGGGCTGGTTGCAAGGTGGGCATCTGTGGACAGGCACCGAGCGATCATCCTGATTTCGCGCGCTTCTTGGTCGAGGCGGGAATTGACTCCGTCTCGGTGATTCCTGATAGTTTTGTGAAGGTGAAGCAGCATGTGATAGCCAGTGAGACGAGGAGGGAAACAGAGAGACAGAAGGATGATGAGTCTGATACGTGTGATTTGTGGTGAGACAAAAACATTAATTCGTTACATGAATTTGTTAGCCTATATCAGAAAATTCTCTTCTACCTAACCCATTCCCCGATGGCCTTGTGATGACTTAATTTTCACGCTTCATTTTCCTTAATTCTTTCCACTATCAGGTTCAAACTCTTGACTCCCGACTCAACCGCCTCTCTTTCCCCTGTCTTCAAGTCCAATCTCACCTCCTCCACCACTCCCTCCCTCCCCACCACAACCGGCCACGAACAACAACATTTCCAATCCTCCCTCCAGCAACTAACTGTCCACACCCTCCTGTTGTCTCTCACCATTGCGGCCGCAACACCCCCAGCTACGGCCCCAGTTCCCCACGGCGCACCTCCTTTCCCAGCAACAATAGCCTTCGATTTTCGCTGAATCTTACTCTCCACCTCCAATTGTTTCTGGATCGAATTTCCATCCTCTCCATAAGGAGACAGTAACCCAGAGCACATAATAACCTGACTCTCATTTCCCCGTACACCGATTACATACCCCTCTGTCTCCTCCATTTTGGTCCCAAGGACACGGGATACCTCACCTCGTAGCCTTATGGAATCCAAGCTCGTCCCCGTCCCGATTACTTGTTTACGGGGCAGACCAGCAATATCCTGCGCCAGTGTGGTGAGTAAATCGACGGGGTTAGCAACCACCAGGATAACGGTGTGTGGGGAAAATGGGCGCATTTCGTTGAGGATGCTTTTCAGGATACTGAATTTGTGATAGAGGTGTTGGAGAGTGGTTTCTCCTATACATTGTATTCATCCTCATTAGCCGGGATCTCTACCTTTGCTGTTACAAAAATCCCAAGTTCAACATGAAATTGAAGGGGTTGAGATTGTACCAGGCGTATATCTCGCTCCCGCAGTGATAATCACCACGTCTGCCTGACTCGCCTCGCGATGCGTGGCTGCGTGAACTTGTGTCACGGAACCGTGAACGAGTGCCGCATCAGAGAGATCGTTGACTTGGGCATCACGGAGGGTGGATTTGATGTCCACGAGGAGAAGGGTTGCAGGTATGCGTTGGTGGATTATAGAGAGAGCTGTTGAAGCACCCACGGAGCCAAGGCCAATCAGGGCAATTGTCGGCATTATTGCTTTTTCTTCGTGTTGCTGTTCTTGATATCTGTGGCACCCAGGTATAATTCGGCTTCCGATTAGAGCGTTTACAGACTGCTAGAGATGCGAAGTGAGCCGTGAGGATGGTTGAAATATAGGGTCAGTGAGGAGAGCTCGTGTTGCGGTGCCATGGTTACGGGGTGGGGTGACTCGGGGTGGAAGTTAGTTTCCTGGAACGAAATCTGGACAAAGAAGTGCTTGGTCATTGCTCTATCCTCTACGGGTAGGGTTACATGATAAGCATTACATCGTCATCATAGACAAATAACAACTGTCTTTAACTTTACGAGCTTTGTCTAGAATCTGCAAAGTGAAGTACGCCGCTCCCGACCTAGCTTCAGCAAGTACAAGCATTCCGGCTCACTCGGCTCGGGACTAGCCAGTCATGGCTTGCGGCGGATGGTAAGCCACGATATCCCTCTGGATATGCAGTTGAAGATCAGAGTCAGTTTCGAAGTGAAAAGTTCTTTATGTTTAAGAAAGTGTGAGTCTTGGACTTAGTGTTACCTCAGCGAGTATTTGTCCATAATGTATAATATGTATCCATTAAACAAAAACGGTCGATTGAGGTTGCTTTTGCTGGCATAGATGTTTTGAGTTACTCCAGGATCGAAAGCGGTGGGCTAAAGAAGCGCGTGATACGGACACACTTCAAAGCCCGTCACCAATCTTTTGTAGTCTTTACGTGACGCATGAGTAATTTATCTGAATATTACAAGCTGAACAACATTTTAACCCCGGCACAGTTAAGCTAATATGTTGATCCTTAGCGCCCGGCTCGTGTCTGCTAGTATATCGCTGTGGCAGTCGAATGGGTTGTTTGACATCACCTAAGATGTCAGTGATCACGTATGGCAAACTTGATCAGGGTGATAGAGCGCACATAGGAATGACCAATACAGGAGGCCTGAGCTCCACTTTTCTCTCACCAGCCCGATCTTTATCTACGCAGCCTTCACCCCTGTATCTATATGATGGTGGTCACGTCAACAGTCGGTATAGTGCACCACTATGCAGCCGGTCTGTTCTATCTATGCATTGTGATAGACTAGACAGGCCACATCCATGGATATTTTAACAGAAGAACACCTTTATTTGACTGTAATAGTTGGAATATCTGCCAATCCTTGTTGTCATGCGCAGTTCCGCAGATCTGGCAAGTAAGCAGATGAGAGCATACTTACCAAGCTTATCCCCAAAGAATTGCCAAATTTATGGAGAGACGAAAAGAATGCAAGGGGCCACGTTGAGCTGTTGTGAATTAAGATTTAATGAGTGACCAATATACAGAAGGTTCCTTCAAGTTCATTGGCAACTAGACAGCATTTTAATCGCCTGCGTTATAGCCCGCCTCCTCTCGGGCCAGCTTATAGATATCTTTACCCCGAGGCTCGAAGTTATCCCCTCGAGACAGTTTTGATGCCAGATATAACCAGCTCACTGCATTCCCGACAGTAGTGTACTCATCAGGAAGTCTCTTCAACGCAGGCGCTGCCTTGTGTTGAGAAAGTTCCTCATCACTAAAGATACGAGAAAGATGCCGAGCTATGGCACTCTTATCCTCTTTGTCGACTAGTATGGTATGGTCTGATTCCTGCATGAAAGGGAGCAACTCTGCATCTCTGGTAGTAATGATCGGTGTCCCCTTTTGAATGGCTCCGAGGAGCATTTCAGGGGTCCCATGCAATGTGGACAGCTGCACAAGCGCTCTTGCGTTTATAAGCAGGGCGTTCCACATTTGGTCCGCAGCGCCGATTGGAATGATGCAAACGGACGCAGACAGGCTCTCGCTGCTGTTGATTTGAGATATGACCGCATCGTAGAAAGAGGAGCTTTCTGGGGTACGGGAGGGACCACGGTGACAAATCAACAACTTCAGAACCGGCTGTCCCGGACGCTCCTTGACACATGTGTCGTAGAACTTCTGATACGAGTGAAGAAGGCAAAGGGTACCGTCACCGGGTCTAAACTGGGATAGATGAAGGATATATTGCTCTATATGAAGGGTAAAGCTTAGTGATATATTTGGCGCTCCCACGGTGGGATTGTTACCTTCTGGATAGCGTATAATAGACATCTGCAGATTTCTAGAAATGGAGCTGAACTCCCTTCCATAGAAGCCGATATCCCAGCCAGTTAAAGACTTGTTCTGACCATCAAGTCTACACCAGTATTAGCATGGGGTCAGATTATATATGGAGCTTTAGGATTAGTACTGGTCAACGGAAAATTGTATGTAGCCGACATTTTCCTCAGGCATAACACGTGGCGCAAGTCCCTTCGGAAGTAGCGAGACTAGCAGATCAACGTGAGCTAACCTGGCTCGGATATAGTCCCATGCTCGGGATTGCGGGCTATTGTGATCCTGAAGCGGGTCTCCTTGACTGTGGAGGCTATTCTCAAATATGACAGGCCGCCCGGGATCTTGCTGCTTTGAAAGTAGAGCCAATGTCAAAAGTGGCGCACTGTCAACAATTACTATATCGACGCCCCCCTCCGCGCGAGACCGAAGGGGCCCGTTCTGGCGCAGCCAGTGCCTTCTCGCGTTAGCGTAGGCAAAGTCCAGGATCAACAACTCATCATTAACAGTAATATCCGACAGTGGATTACCTAGTCCCTCCAAGGTGTCTTGCATCTTCCTGATGAGAGGAACCATTCCTGGTCGAGGCTTCGGCACAAACCTGTGTGATGATGTTAAACTTTCAATCGAGCGAGTTTTCGAAAACGATGCAGATGTATACCATTTGACTTGAGCTCCGAGCCTGTTGCTGAACCGTGCAAGAGCATGCCGCGTAGGAACGTCGGGTTTGCCCTGGCACGTCATACTGAAAAAGGCGACCTTCACCTTCCTTTCCCTCAGGTCTTGGGCATAATGTTGAGCCACAGACCACGTTGCAGGTTCGACCGTCTTCTTGTAGTCTTCTAGACAAGCAAGATGCACGTGGTAGCCTCTATCTACGTCCACTGAGCCATCGTAGTTTATATGATTGTGGAGTACATGGCCAATGCCGAAGGATCTGTACAGCGTCAGTTTTTGCGCTCATCCCGAAGATAACACTGACCGTATGCACTTTCGCACCAGTGAATCTGCCCGTTCATCGAGTTCCTTCCTGTACCACCCGGCAAAGGTCGCCAGCTCGCCTTTATCGGTATGTTGTCTTTCACGGTCCTTATGTTCGAGTACCAAGGGCACAATGTCAAGCTCGCTCCACAACCGCGAGCATAATGATGGACATCCGGAAGCAAGAGATTGGTGAACAGCAGCGCTGACTATTTTCTCCGCATGCTTTTCTCTGTATTCTTTCAGCTCTGCGATTATCGCGCCGGTTGCATGGTCCGATACATCGGAACGGGGAACGTGCCAAGAACACACGAAGAAGTCAACGAGATCTGTTAAATTCCGGATGGCAATTGCAACTCTTCCGCCAGTATTGTCACAGATAAGTTCCGAAATTCCAATGTAGATGACCTGGGACATGGTGTTAGAGATTTAGTTTATGTGTAAGAAGCCGATGTATCAACACACATTGAGTGGTCTGCCAGACCAAGCATCTGCGTTGTAACTTGAACTAACTATGCTCATTTCTTTAGGGGCAGTTGGCGTCTTGTTGCTCGATTCTATCATGGACTCCAGGCCGGGTGAAATGCAATTCTCACTATGCGTAATGCCACCACTACTTTCGTCTTCAATGTAAGACCTAATTACAAATAAGCGAAACTTGCTGGGTTACAGGTACATTTATACGCGGTATTGTCTTAGGTGTTGCTTCCCGTACTGTAAGGATATTGTTGTTGCTGAACGCCGGCCAGAGACAAGGAAGCTTTCGCCAGTCCCAAGGAAACAGAAAGAAACTCCCCCTCTGTCTTGACGTAAAAGTGACATATATTAGCTCAACCCCTCAACTGATAACAAGGACACTGTATGACATCAAAATAATAGAGTTCATTCGTTCGGAAGGACAGCCACGCATAGTCCGGCAGGCGTCAGTCAGGTGGCAAGATTTCGGAACGTATTATTTCGGCCAGGTGGGTAGCTGGATCTTACGTCCTTGTATGATCTAAAGGTAAGGGTAGAGAAACGATCAACAGGATTATTGATTTGTTGAATTAGGAAGTACCCGCGACGTCATTAAAGAAGTTATACGAAGGCGTAGATGCGTGTGGAAGCAGATGGCAAGAGTTCTTTGCGAATCTTAAAACAAGCCTTCAAAAGAAAATCATCCCTTCGTTCGTGACCGTGGATGGGATGAGCTATCCCAATGAATTTTAAGACTATTTGAATCTTGACGCTTATGGAATGGGTTTTCGTACTCCATGATTGTGCCAGTTTCTGCACGTAAAAGTACATCAACAATTCAAAACGGCGTTATGGACTTTGTGGGCGCAGAATAAGAACTCATGTCGCAACTCCAAAGGCTTGTCCTGCTCCATGGACTGCCCAGGGAAGATCCTGATTACCATCGCGTCCGGAGACAACGATCCTACAGTCGGCTAGGACCATTTTGACACTCAGCATTTGATCGACAATAAGCTTCCCCGTTAATCTCCTGAAGCCACCGCCTCATGCCGATCCGTCCACGCTAGTGTGGGCACCTACGGCAGCTAGCCCATGAGGAGCAGTTGAACGATTAGATGGTCCGCCGCCTGTGTTTCTCGGAGAGGGCTGACTTGTAGCGTTTTGTCCAGTCAGTATCCATAACAGCAGTCCGGGAAAAATGAAGGAACCATACCACCACATTGGCGTGAACGCCATGGCTAACATGTAGAAAGCCAGAGACAGATTTGCAATGGTCGTGGTGGTGTGGAGATCCACCGCCAGCTCCGCCAGGGCGGCTAAATTGGGAGGGCATTCCGGTTAGTATCGCAAGCAGGTGACATTTTTAGCACCACAACGAAACAAAAAAGAAAACTTACGGTAGAAAATTGAGCAACCAGTCGACGAGGCGATCGCAGCGAAACTAACAATGACCGTCATGAATCATTTGGTACTGTTGCCATAACTGCATGGATCGGTGACTTCGGGGGTTAGGGCGAAGCGCCCGAACAGCCCTCGCCGCCGAGCCCGCAGCACTCTGCCCGGACCGGCGTCTCCAGCAGCAGCAGCAATAGCAGCAGCAGTCTGCTTCTGCTTATCCTGCTCTTTCTCCATCTCCGGTTCCGTCGCACTCTGTCCACTACTGCTCGAGTCGGTCTTGTCCACGCTGGTGCGGGTGACGCCCGTCCCAGTTGCCTTTTCGATGTCGGCCGTCATGGGAGGCGTTGATATGTGTACTATGGCAAAAGGAGTAGTAGAGAGAGTTTCGCAGGAAACCAACATCCCGGTAGCCTGGATTTCTCGACCTTTAGTACAGCATTGATCGGTCTGGTGTCTCCGGAGTTAGGGGTTAATCGGGCAGACGAGCTCGCACATCACACCAGCTGGCAGCAGTGGATTTCCTTCTCAGGAATCACACTGTTCAAAGCCATCTTTTCGCATTGTTGGCGTATTGGGAACTCCGTGGGTATCGGGGAGTCAACCTTCCGCCAATCAGATTGGGTATTAGAATCCCGATACGCAGACGCTTGTCGATCACAGTATTTATCCATACTGTAGAGTAAATTTTGTTGATTGAGCTTGGCACATGCTTCATTATCATCAAGCTTTCTTGCCTTGTGGTGGGGAAGTCAAGTGGCTTCCTGTTGAACCTAGTACATCTCTATCACTGGAAGGATGTCGAGACACCTTCTTAGTCTAGGGGGGATACCGGGCGACTTTCAATATAGTAGTATATTACTTAGAAAGCCGATTCAAGGACACTGGAGGAACCCTGAAGACTGCAGACTTAAATCATAAATATATTGCGAGAGATCAAGATCAAGATCACATGCACAAGGATTATGGACAAGTTCTTTGACAGTTGGGATATATACTGCTAAGCCGCTTGTAGGCTATCAGAAAAACTATCGATTCCTGCTAGCCTAAGGGAGTGTGTTGAACCTAGTGCACCTCAGCAGCTCCCCCCTTCCCCAAGGGGTCAACGTCGCCCGGGTCGACTACACTGATCCGACGAATATCAGTACTCTCATTGATACCCTCCGGACTCAACAAGCCCTAATCATCACCATGAGCCACCAAGCCCCGCCCACCACCATCCTCCACCTGATCCGCGCCGCCGCGCAAGCCCGGGTTCCTTACGTCCAACCGAGCTGGTGGGGCCACGATCCCTCCCACGAATCCGTCTGGCGCGACAGCAACCTCTCTACCCGGCGCGACAAAGTTCTCTCCGAAATCCAATTCCTGGGGGTCAGTCACTACCTCCTGCTGGTGTGCAACTTCTGGTACGAGTGGAGTCTGGGCGGCGGGCCGAACCGGTTTGGCTTCGACTTCCCGCGGCGTAAAGTGACCTTCTTCGACGGTGGACTCGAGCCCATCAACACCACCACCTGGCCGCAGGTCGGGCGCGCCCTGGCCCGCTTGCTCAGCTTGAAGGAATTGCCCCAGGACGAGTCGGATCCGGCGCCGACCTTGAGCAAATTCCGGGATGGCGCAGTCTATGTGTCCAGTTTCCGGCTGACCCAGAGGGAGATGTTTGAGAGTGTCAAGCGGGTCACCAAGACGCAGGATCAAGATTGGACGGTGATGGAGGAGTCGGCGGTGGAGCGCTATGAGCAGGCCCAGAAGAATTTGCAGGTGAAGCTGGATCTGAATGTCTACACAAAGATGCTGTATAGTCGTATTTTCTTCAAGGATGGTGGCGGCGATTATGAGTCGACGCGCGGGTTGGATAATATCAAGTGGAACGAGGGCTTGGCATGATAATGGAACAAGATTTAGCTCTTTAACCCCTGATCAATCTGGATCAGCCTATATATAGCCTTATATATAACTTTATATATATCTGATTATTATCTGATTCTATATTTATATAGCTCAACTGCCTGCGCAGCAGTATTATAGAATTAGATCTTTATTATATTATTATTCTAGATCTGACAGTTATAAGCCTGATTAGTTACTTTATTTAATTATATTTTATACTGCTGTTAAAAGAAGCTCTTAATTAAATTATTAAACTATCTCTGATTAACTAAATCAATCAGTTAATTATATTTCTTAATTAAAAAATTATAAAGTTATATAAATAAACAGAATAATAAATATTTTAAAGATCTTTATAATATTAAAAGTACTATATAATTAAAGAGAATAAATTAAAAATATTAAAATTATAGCTAGAGTATATTAATTAAATATCTAGAAATATATTAATTTAGATTAGAATATATTTATATCTATAAATAAAAAAATATTTATCTTAGCTATTATTAATATAATTAATAATAATCTTCTTAGAAATCTCAGCAAGAAATCGCTGTATAGAATTAAGAAGAAGATTTATAAAAAAAAAAATTATTATTTAGTTAATACTCAAGATAATTAAAAAGATTAATTTTATAATAATAAAATTAATTATTAATAAATTTAATTCTCTAATTTAGAAAATAAAAAAATTATAAAAAAAACTTTAAATCCTGTAGAAGTACTTTTAAATATTAGATTTAATATTTTAAAATAACTGTAAATAGTATTATAAGAAAATTTATAATAATTTATAATATATTAATATAGAAGTATAATTAAAAATATTAAATAAGATTATTATTAAAATCAAGAATCTTAATATAATTAATATATATAAAATAAAAGAATTATTAAATTTTTTTTTAATAATAATAAAGTATATAGAAGCCTGGGCGATATCTAAATAATCTAGTTTATAAAAAAATAAGAAATTCTTATTAAAGAAAAAAATTAATAAGTTTTTTAAATATATTAAAATATAATTAGTAAGAACTTTTCTTAAGAAGTAAGAACTTTTCTTAAGAAGACTTTATTGAACTTTCACTTTCTTATATAAATTTGGTGAAAAAGTGAGATAAAAGTAAGAGAATAATAAAAAAAATAAAAAAATAAGAAGAATCAGAGATTAGATAACTAAGTAAGAATTTTTCTCTAATCTCTTAAAAAAACTTTACTGAACTCTTACTTTCTTATATAAATTAAATATAAAAGTAAGATAAAAGTGAGATGAAGATAAAAGAAAGATAAGAGAAAGATAAAAAAGTAATAAAAAGAATTAAAGATTAGAAAGAGACTAAAAACTGATTTAACTTGATTAAAACTTATTAAAAAACTAATTAAAAACTAAGAAATCTTTTTGTTTATATTTATAGTTAATTGGCTATTAAAAGTATATAAAAATATATAAAATTATATAAAAATATATAAAAATTATATAAAAATTATATAAATAGAACAAAATCAAGAATAATAGAACTAGTGATTAAATAAAGACTAGAATAATTAATAAAAATAAGATCTCTTACTTCACTGTAGAATAGACAGAACTTAGAATTATTAGTCTGCTAATTAATAGTCTAAGACAGCTAACTAGTCTGAGACTGTAAACTAATAAGTCTTAGATAATAAACTAGCAAGTCTTAGATAATCAACTAGCGAGTCTTAGACAGTGAACTGATCAGTCTATTTATATTATTAATATATTTCTGTAGTTTTAATAAGATAAAATATTAGAAAAAACTGAAGTAAATAAATTACTAAAAATAAAAAATAATAATAATAGAATTTAATAAATTATTATATTTAACTATTTAATAAATTAAGTATATTTTTAATTAAGAAACTGCTTAGTCAGATTATCTGCTTATATTTTATTAATAAATATTTATTAAATATTAATTATTTTATTCAGAGCTTCTTATTTTAGTTAATAATTAATAATATTAATATATTTCAGACTAGTTTAAAATAGAAAATTTTTATCAGTAAGAATTTTGACTGTTTAATAATTATTATATAATATAAAAAAGTATTGATTAGAGCTAAACCCTATTTATTTAAAAAATTTTCTCTATTAAAGAAGTTACTTGACTGTAGTAATTAGAACTAATAATTTAATTTTAATAATTAAAAAAGTTATATAATACTGTTTCTTACTTAGCTAATCAATAAAGCTATTAAATAAATAAATAATATATCTTATTAAGCTAGTATAATCTTAATTATCAGCAAAACTAGTATTACTGACTATATAAAATAAAATAGAACTAGGACTAAATTTAATAGTCAAGTTCTTTATTTCTTCTAAATAGAAGATTAAATAATTCACAGCTCTGAGATATTTAGAATTTAAATTAATTAGATATTCTGAAATTAACTAATATAATTTAATAATATTAGATCTAGTTTAAATTATAGAATATAGAGCTGATTTTATTTTTTGCTAAAATTTATAAATTTAATTAGTAATAATCTAATAAAATAGATTCTTTATTAATTTCTTGCTTAAAAATAAGAATTTAGGACTTTTTCTTTGCTTTAAATTAAATTTATTAATAATTTTATTAATATAATTTAATTATTGAATCCACAACTTCCTATTTAAGTGATTATATAAGATTTAAATATTAAAAAATAAATTAATCTCTCTAAGATCTTTGAATTTAAATAATATTATTAATTCTTACTTAAATTTATTGAATTTTTAATAATTTAATTTATAAAATATATAAATTATATTATTTACAAAAATTATTAAAATTATAAATTTATTAATAAAGATATATTAATTTTTTTAAATAGACTTAAGCTCTAGAACTATTAGTCTCTGTTTCAGAATATTTTATTAAAGAAATAGTAAATATCTTAATCTATATAGAATTTTTTATAATAGAAAAACTATTTATTTATTTTTTAATTCAGAAATTAAATCTATATAGATTTTCTTCTTAATAAGACTATTAAAAAAGACAGTGATTATATCTAGTTAATTAATTTTCAGATTAAACATAGTAATTAGAGCTAAAAAAATCTATATAAATCTGACTATAAGAATACTAGCATATATTTCTAATTAATTAAATATTTATAAATTATCTCTAATATAAATTCAGACTTTAAAATCAGTCAGATAATTAGTTTTATTAAATTTATATAAAAATATTTATTTTAATAATAATACTTCAGCTCTATTAATTTTATAAATTAAATATATATTTTAAGTATTTAGAACTTTTAATTAATTAATTTCAGTTTTAATAATCTGAGTAAATTAGCTTAAAAATATATAATTTCTTATTTCTTATTAGTTAATAGGCGGAGATAAAAGTAATAAGAAATTAATATAAAGAATTTTACTCTTATTAATATAATTAATTATTATTTAAATAACTTAAAGAGTAAGTCTAGCTTTTTTAGAATTAAAATTAGATAATTCTGAGCAGATTTATTTCAGATTTTTAATTAATTTAATATCTAAAAACTTAGTTTTATCAATCAGCTTATTAATATTTAAATTATTAATAAGAATCTAAGATAATAAAGAAAATAGATTAGATAATAAAGATAGTAAATCCTTTATAATTATATTATTATCTTATCTGACTGAGATATTTAACTAATTACTTAAGACTATTAACTGGCTTGGCTCAGCAGCTAATTAGTCTTGTTCTAATTAATTACTTAATAAAAATTCAAATATTTATTTTAATATTTCTAAATTAGAAAGATTCTTATCTGTATTACTTTAGATTCTTTAGAAATAAAGATATCTGATTATTTTAACTAAATAAAATCAACTAATTCAGTTATCTTTTGTTTTATTAATAGATTTTTGAATTCAGTATATTATTTATAATTAAAATTTTTATTAAAAATAATATCATAAGTCAAAATTATTTTTTTAAGAATAAACATCCAGATTTATTAAATATTAGTTATCTAATAGTTAATTAGATAATTAATTAGAGCTCTAAGCCCTAGTTTATCTTCTTTAAATAAATTACTAATTTAAATATAGATATATAATTTATACTTTCTTAAATAGAAAATATCTAATTTTTTAGATAACTATAAAAGACTTTTCTAGATAGTTTTATATAATATTTTCTAATTTAGTTATTTATTTAGTATTTTATTTAGAATAAAAATAGCCGAATCTATTATTTTAGATTATAAAAATATAGAAAGCCCTAAATTAATTAATAAATTTCTTATTTTAGAAATAATTAGAGCTTTAGATCTTTCTGTATATAGATTTTGCTCTGACTAATAAATTAATAAATAATTAATTAATAAATCTTTAATACTAGCCCAGATTAAAAAAATATTAAGATTCTGATTCTGATTAAAATAAAATCTCTTAAATATTATTCTAAACTAATTAATAATTAATTAAATTATATTAATAATTAATTCTGAAATATCTAATTTAGAAGTTAGGGCTTGCTCTAGATAAAATTTTAAATAGAAATAATAAAAATAATTAATATATCTCTGTTTATTAATTCTATTTATTATATAAATCAAGTTCTAATAAATTAATTTAAATATCTAATTTTTTTTCTTAAATTTTTATCTTAAAATTTGTCTTTCTGATTAGCTAATTTTATATATAAGATACTTTTTAATTTAGCTTAGCTTATCTAAGCTAGTCTATTTTAATAAATTAATAATATTAATTCTCTGAACTAAATTATTTAGATAATTTAAAGCTTTTTTATTAAAATATTCTAATTTTTTATATTATTCTTTAACTATTTTAGATATTATATATTAATATTCTGAGAGTTTAATTAGCTTAAGATTATAAACTAGCAAGTCTAAGATAGTTAACTGACTTGTCTTAATAGTAATAATTATAGCAGAACTAGATTTTTGTTTCTATTAAATATAATATATTTCTCTGATTTTTTTAATTTAATATAATAAAATTCTATCTGCTTATTTAAGAAATC